TGAGAGGGCAGTCTTGAAATGACCAAATAACCTGATTGTTTGCACTCTCCTTCAGGGAACAGAAGGGTATTTGAGACATTCACCATCAGCAGATTGGGGTTTGTATGTCTCTGCTACATGCCAGGCAGTGCACACACCACCACAGCAAACAGCATTCAGCGTGGCTGAAGGCCACTGACCGACAATAAATAGTAACTCCAGTGTGTTATGTTCTTGAAATGACCAAATAACCTGATTGTTTGCACTCTCCTTCAGGGAACAGAAGGGTATTTGAGACATTCACCATCAGCAGATTGGGGTTTGTATGTCTCTGCTACATGCCAGGCAGTGCACACACCACCACAGCAAACAGCATTCAGCGTGGCTGAAGGCCACTGACCGACAATAAATAGTAACTCCAGTGTGTTATGTCTTACTTGTAAGCATGAACAAGAAAGCTGGAGCTCCCTTTGCTCTTGCAGGTGTTTTCCTACGTTTTCCTGCTCCAGAGACTACTTGGGACCAGAACTGGGAGGGAGGCAGGGAGCTGCAATCACTTCCTTCAGCTGCCTCTTAAAAAAAGCCAATTTTCTTGCCTGACATCAACCAGGATGATCATATCTATTGTTGCACTGAAACATTTTTTGGCTCATGATTATTTTTGTTGCTGTTTTTAATCCATTGTCTCAGGGAAGGGAAATCTCTGGTCAGGAGCACTGTTTGAAGAAAAACCTCCATGAGTCCCTTTGATTTTGCACAGGAAAGGGTATAGAGGTGGGATGTGCCTTGTCTTTACACGCTTCTTGAGGGAGTTTGACCTTTGGGTCTTATCTGTCGGTCGTTTTCTCCTTATCCCACATAGCAAACCAGATGTGGGAACCAAGGAGGAGGCATAGGCTGTGGAATGTGATGGTTCCAGGTGCCTCTCTCATTTATGATGTAATGCTCCACTTTCTGTACTAAGCAGATAAAGGACCTGACTTACTCCTTGCTGTTACAAGTAGTGGAAAAAGTTCCCCTGCTGCGATACAGATCATGTGTTTGTCTCATGAATAGGTGGCTGTGAGTCAGCTTTGCCCTGGCATTCACACCGTTGCCCTGGATCCTCTTGGTGAGGTGACGGACTGGCTAACAGGGTAGGTCCACATCAGATGTAAAGGTGCTGCTTACGAAAATGAAAAGTTGGCGCTCTTGGTTTTCTGTTTATCAGTGAGAATTTCCTCTCGGGTATCAGCCTCTCGCTTAGCTCTGTGCCAGCAGATACAAGGATTGTAAAGTGAACCAGGGCTATCAGAAAGGAATTGACCCTGCCAGCCTGCCTGGGCAGGAGGAAGCAGTGTTGAAGAGCAGGGCTGCCAGCCAACAGCCAGTTTTGTATTCCCAATTTAGCAAGTGGCAATCACTTTAAAACAAAGCTGATTGTGGCTGTTTCCTATGCAGGGGACATGCTCTGCTATGGGTGAGGAAGCACAATGTCTTGTGGCTCTGCTTCCAGTAGCACAAACTCACTCTTCCCCATGCTTTTCATCCCCACCAAGTCTCAGGTTCTGAATTCTCAGCACAATGCAGAGAGAGGTGACATCTGAGTTGGACCAGAGAGGGGGAGAGCAAACCTGGGGAGAGGGGAAGAGGGTGATGATGTCTGAACACAGCAGAAAGGAAGAAGGAATGTTGACTTTGGCATGTAACTTGTGAACAGTAATTGTCCCTTCCTTTTCAGTTATGATTGCACATCAACAGTGACAGCCCTAGGGAAAGCAGAGTAAGATTTCTACCAGCAGCTTTGGTGTTACCAGATTCAGTATGGTGTTGTAGGCAGAGGTATTTCCCAGGCAAATTCCTGGTGCTGGTTTTGTGGAGCTCTGCTAGAGAAGAAAAGAGGATTCAAAACTAGAGCTCAGACCCAGGAGCTTCTGAGGACAGAGGATATGGCTGTGCAATACATGGCAGTGTGTGAAGGATCCATGTGACACCTCCTTGGAGCTGAGCTCTCTGTGTAGAGACAACTTTCAAGTCATGGATGACTTGAACATAGATGTGACTGGAAAATGCTTTCAGGGAGAGTGTCTTACAAACCTGGCCAGCAGGCATTGGTGTATCTTTTCGAGGTGGGAGAGAAGCAAGGCTTTTCTGGGGAACAAAAACCACCCCATGAGTTAGAGGTTGCTCCTGGCTGTCTCAGCAAAACCTGCATGGGATGTTTTGGCATCAGCATATCATGTTCACAGGAGGCTGTGGGACTCAGCCCTGCAAGGGTAGATATGCCCAAACACACTGTGCTGCCTGTGGGCACATCTCTGTCCTGGTAGGTGCAACAGGTCTGAGACTGTCTGTACTGCCACACTCCTCTCTCTGGAGCTCTCTGAGAAGTGGGAGGGGGTGCCCTGTCCCCTGAGCCAGTGAGGCTCAGAGAGGTTGGAGAAGCTGGAGATGAAGTGTCTTGCTCTATAACACCAGCCTGAAAGTTTTTCTCTTCTTTCTATATTTCAGAAACTTCGACTCCCTCAGTAAAGAAAATGTGTACGAGAACAACAAGTTGGTAAGCAACTTTTAATGCTTTTCTTTTGGTCTAGTCTATGGCCTGGTACCTTGATTTAGCAACAGAAATCCTTCAGACACAGTGTGTTGAGTGTGCCCTGTTCAAATCCTTTGTCTTATTTTGCACCTTCTCATTTGAATGGCAGTGTCCAGGCTTGCTGGATACTTGAAAGCACCCTGACTGTTCACACTTCTGCGCTGGCCACACAGTAATGCCTGTTTCTAGTGTGTCTTGTGGCAGCAGGAACTCAGACAGAGATGCTTGCAGGTCAAAACATGGACATGTTGAGTTTGTGATACTCCTGAGGGATGGAGCAGGAGCTGGGAAGTAGCTGGTGTGGGGGGGGAAGCATAAGGCATGTGTCCCCGCCTCTGTTCATTCCTGGCACAGGGGATGAAGGTGATGTGCTAAAGGTGCTGGAAGATGGAGATGTCCTAAACTGATCCTGCCTGGCCACTTCACTCCAGCATGGGATTTGAGTTTCTCATGTTCTTTCCAAGAAGAAGGTGTAAGTTAGGCAAGCCAGCCCTCTCCTGCATTGGGTTCAAGCATGGGCTTAGTGATCCAAGGAAGGATTTTTCCCTCCCTCTCTCCACCACTAAAAGAGAGACACTGGATTATAATGTTTCTCTTCCCTTGGCATCACTCCACACAGCTTCATGGCTGCTTGGCAGGAGCTTGGGATGTGAATGAACCGTAGCAGCTTACTCTTGTCTGGGCTGGAGGAGTGACATCCTCTGACACAGGGAGCAAGCTGAAGTGGTTCTTGCCTCTGAGAGAGCTAAACTTGACTCTCCCTGACTCCTTAGCTTCTGCTCCCCTTCACCCCGACCGTGTCCACAGGACCTGTGATGGACCCCCTCTCCCTAAGCAGGGGCTGCAGCATGGGAGCAGTTAGTCACACTCTGGGGTTCAGTCCTGCAGCTTCTTCTTCTCGAGGTGAGATTCAGACCACTCATTTTTGCCCTAGAGGTTTGATGTTTGGCAGGTGCCGTGGATGGGCATCCTGACCAGAGTGCTGTAAAGCCCCAAGTGTTGCTCCTTCCCCAGCCATTCTGGAGTCTGCTCAGCCTGCCTCTGGGAAATGAACTGTAGGAGCTGCCTCCACTGCTTTTCTTAATGAAAAGCTTCTTTGTGCCTCTCATAAAGAGCTGCTCCCCTCCTTTGTCACAGTCTGTGTCCCCCCTCCTCCCCCTTTCTTAGTTTCTTTTATGTCCTTTATTTTGCTCTCTCTTCCTTACTTCACCTGCTGTAGGATGACTTGTCTGTGTTGTCCTTTCACTGCTGGTATCCTGCTGCCTTGGCTCTTCCATCCATGGGATTGACCCCTCATCTCCCTGTGGGCTTCTGGGCTGGCCTCCCTCCTTGCACTGCTCTCTCCCCTAGCTCCTACACTTTCTTGCTCTGGCTGCCCTTGGAATACAAATGGGTCTGATTTCTTCCAGTGCTGTTCCTCTGCTCTTGTTCAGACCCTCCTTGACGCCTCACTAGTCAAAACTTCTTTTCCAGGGCTGTATTATTCATGTAAAAAAGTCTTGTTTGAGCTGCAATTTGCCATATAAGGTCTTCTGCCAAGGAAGAATGCGTCACTTTTCAAGTGCCAAAAAACCAGCTCCAATCCCTAGAAAAATTTCAGTTGGTGGCATTTTTTTTTTGCTGAAGATTTCGAAAGTATATAAATAGGATAAAGGTTTCTAGAGGCTTTGGATCCAGATCTTTCAGTGCTAGCAGATTGTGGTGTGGTGTAGCAGATACAGGGGTAGCCTGTGTCAGGGGGAAGCTGTGCCAGGTTGGCTCAGGTGGCCTTAAGCATATCACTTTCCCATTTTGCATAGGCAAGGCAGCAGTGGCACTTTCATCCCTTGGAAAGCACTTGGAGCTTCACTGATGAAGAACATAATGCAGAAAGAATGTTGCTTCTTTGAAGGCCAGCCTGGGCAGGCAGGGAGAGGAGAAGGGCAACTGGCCCCTGTTAGGTGGTGATCTCATTGGGCAAGAGCAATTCCCAGGAACACAAGGATGCTCTGTAGGCACAGGAGACACCACATTCTAAAGCTGCTCTCTGCATTGCTCACCTGATTCTGGCCAAGCCAGTTGTGTGCACAGAGCATCCTCCTCTTTGTGGTCCAAGCAGCCCCTCACACCCTTCTGCACTGGTTGCACTGGTCTGACCCATGGCACAGTGTGGCAGGAGGTGGCATGACCTATGTTCCCACTAGACTGCACACTGGGAATGTCCTGCAAGAAAACCACTGGTCAGACCAGTTGTGCAGCCTATGGAATGGGGAACACTCCAAAGAATATATTAAGTACCAGTTTATAAGACAGCCCAGGCTGGGCTGGCAGCTGGGATGACGCAGCCGGAGGTAACTGGCTGAAAGCGTTTTTAATGTCAGCTCTGTTACATTTTTACTGGGATACCCAATGGAAAATAATGGTCATTATCTTGCTGAAAAATAGTGACTGTTTGTTTCTTCTAAG